ACAGGTGTAGAATACGTGTGTCTGTACTGGGTGCAGTGGGAGGGCAGGGTGTGTTACGTAGCATCCCCCCTTTGTGCAGAGGGCATGGGTCACGTATGCAGGGTATACGATCTGTGTGCAGCTTGAGAGAGCCATGCGGCCTAGACAAGGCATAAAGTACAGCGCGGTGAGAGCAGGAAAGGAAGCGGCACCAGTTCTGGCAGGACTCTTCTCGGGGTAGAGAGACGTGCTATGTATGATGTGGTAGCTTTTCTTTGGGCTGCAACTACACAGTTGTTTTGAGGAGCTGTGGCTTAAAAGGGGTGAACCAGGGCTCCCCAGAGCCCAGGGAGGGAGTTCCAGGGTATGTGGAGAGAGATGTGTTAAAGAGGTCTTCCTCACTTTGCAAGAGGATGCCCTGCCACAGAGGAAGTCCCCACCCGTGTCAAGAAGTCACCTGCCCCTCTCTGAAGGCCACTCTCACACCTTCCAGGTCCCAGCCCCTTCTCTAATCCTGTCCCCAAACTAAAAGACCTTAGAGGAGACTTAATGGTTTCCTTTCCCTTGAGTCCATGCTTATTCAAATAGTCTGATTGCCTGGACCCTAAAGCTATGGACCCAAGTGACTCCCTGATGAGACCTGTGCCCTGATTCTGGGTAGGGAGGGACATTGCCTCAGCATCCTTTCTCCTACACATCTCAAGCTGAAAGGCCCAAGAAGTGGAGGACATTCAAAAGGCCTAGGGAGCAGGGGCAGAGGCCGGGACTAGGACACGGATGGGGCAAGGATGGAGGGAGGGATGTGACAGCAGCAGAGAGAGCCTAGGACCGGGATTATGAGATAGGAGGACCAGAGGATCTTAGGATCATAGATTTAGAGCTAGAAGGGACCTGTGAGATTGTCTATTACAAACAAGGAAACTGAGGCATAGAGCAGTTAAGTAACCTGCCCAAGTCATACAGAAGCGGCAGAGGAAAGGAGAGAGGAAGTTCATTTTCTGGCCTCCGCCCTCCACGTAGTACTTGGTAGGACAGGCAGTGTTGGAGTCCAGATCTCGGCATGGCCATCTACTAGCTGGGTGACCTTGGGTAAGTCATTGCTCTCTTTGGACCACACTTCCTTCACCTATAAAATAAGGGGATTGGGTGCTGTCGGGAGTTGGCTGGTAAATGTTTAACAACTGCTGTGGGGGCTGGGTGTGAGGACACATTTTAAAGTTTAATCTGCATTATTATCATTGTATACATCACTTTCTCAGTCTAGACAATCAACAAGACAATAAATCAAGTCCTGATTTGGGCCATTTGCCAATTTAGGAGGTGGAGATGTTCACAATGAACATTTAACAATTGGCTCTCCCCAGCCCTCCAGCAGTACCTGGGTGCTCCCTGATTTAAGGCCCCTTCCTTCTAGCCCTGACATCCTGTGTTCTGAGTTCTAAGGCCCCTTCCTTCTAGCCCTGACATTCTATGCTCTGAGTTCTAAGGCCCCTTCCTTCTAGCCCTGACATTCTATGCTCTGAGTTCTAAGGCCCCTCCTTTGTAGGCCTGACATCCTATGCTCTGAATTCTAAGGCCCCTCCTTTCTAGCCCAGCCATCCTGTGTTCTGTGTTCTAAGGCCCCTCCCTTCTAGCCCTGCCATCCTGTGTTCTGTGTTCTAAGGCCCCTTCCTTCTAGCCCTGACATTCTGTGCTCTGAGCTCTAAGGCCCCTTCCTTCTAGCCCTGCCATCCTGTGTTCTGTGTTCTAAGGCCCCTTCCAGTCCAGCCCTTCTTTGGCTCTAATGCTCACCTGGACCTCACCCTGAGTAACAAGCTGGTTCACTTTATTCTTAAACATATCCATGCATCCACAGCCTCCCCAGGTAAGCTCTCAACCTCTGCCAGGCAAGGATGATTCTCCCCTTCTCTCTTCTCTCCCCAAGCCCCCAAGCAAAGGGTGGGCTACCGGAGTCCTCGCTGACTTCCTTGACTCATCCTGCTTGCTGGGATGTGCCAGGCACTGCCCCAGCTGCCAGCTCCCATCCCTACTGTTACACCAGGTGCTGACATTCTGCAGGAACAAATCTCTCTGAACCCAGAGCATTCTGCTTCTTCTGAGTGTTGGATGGCTGTTGCGGGGCGGGGGGAAGGGATGCTCGGCTTCATTAGGGAATTTTGAAAGTTTGGTTAGAAGTTGGGGAAGGATAGAGATGGGTTCAGTTAGGTTTTGGAGGTATAGTACCAGTACTCTCTGTCACATTCCAACCCCTTCCCCCACCCCCCCAACATGTCACTCAGGGAGCCCTCCTACAATATCTAACTCAGAAGTTTCTCCCCACACCTAACCTAGAATGGGGAGAGAAGAGAACAGGGATGAAAGGTTAGGGCTAGAGTCTAGGCTGCAGCTCCTCAGAAAGGATTCAGAATCAGGGGCAGGGGGTCAGGACAGGGCTCACTAGGCTGTTCTCTATCTAAGGGGCTGGAGGCTGGTGGGGGAGGACACATAGCTCCTTCCTTCTTCATCCCAAGTATGGGCCTCAGGAGCTGAGATTCCTGCTGGTTGGAGCTGATTTAGGGGCCAAACAATGGGGTCAAGGTGGAGGGGGTTGTGTGGGAGTTGGGAGTATGAAGAATGGGCAGCTCTGTTCCCAACTGAGTAATGCCAGGTTTGAGAGGTCTCCTTCCTTCCTACAGAGGAATCAGGGCAGATGATGAGAAACTGGCCCAGGAGACTAATTCCACTCTCGAGTCAATCATTTGAGTGATCCTCTGGAACAGATTTCCCAGTTCCTGTCTCTGCTCCTGCTGATTCTTTTTAGCCCCATTTGGCAGATGGAAAAATCGAGGCCAGGAATGAGATGAGGCCAGATGGAGGAGAAAGAATAGCTGAAGGCATCATCCAGGCATAGGCACCGGGGCTGTCGTGAAATGTTCCTGCTAATGGGACATTGTGTCTATGACCCACCTCCTGGTGAAGCTAGGAATAGAGGAAGGAGCTGCACCAACCCCCCCACCCCCAGCTAGGCCTGTGGACAGCCCCTTCTGCCTCTTCTCTTGTCCTCTACCTTGGCTGCCCCAGACTTACAGAGCTACTCCCCCCCATGCTCTACAAACACATCTCTCATAGCTGCCTGTCTTTAGGACATTGTCCCTAGAGAATCCTCAGTCTAGACCTGGAAAGGACCGAGAGCCCATCGAGTCCAGACCTCTCATTTTACAGATGTGCAAACTGAGGGGCAGCTAGGCAGCACAGTGGACAGAGCACCAGGCCTGGAGTCAGGAAAGACTCGACTCCCTGAGTTCAAATCTGTCTGCAGACACTTACTGGCTGTGTGACCCCGGGCAAGCCATTTTACCCTGTTTGCCTCAGTTTCCTCATCTATAAAATGAACTGGAGAAAGAAATGGCAAACCACTCCAGTCTTTTTGCCAAGAAAACCCCAAATGTGATCACAAATAGTCACACGTGACTGAAAATGATTGAAAAACAATAACAACAATTGAGGCCTGGGGAAATTCAATGACTTGACCAAAGTCGCATGGTTAAGTATCAGAGATGGGATTTGAACCCAGGCCTCTGACTGCAGAACCAGTGGTCTTTTCATTCTTGGTAGCTTTGAATTTGTAAAATCATGGCAAGCAGAGCTAGAAGGAAGATTAGAGATTACCCAAAAAGGATCAAGTGAGTTAACTTATGTAAAGGCCTTTGCAAACCTCAAAGAAATGTTTGTAATTATTATTATTAATCCAACCCTACCCCCAAATTCCTACATTTTACAGATGAGTAAACTGAGCGCAATGACTAATTGAAGGTCACACAGGTAACCAGTAGCAGAATAGTGACTTAACTCCTGACACCTAACTCTATGCTTAGATCATTGAGTCTAATTGTCCCATTCCACAAAGGAAGAAACTGAGGCCCAGAGATATTTAGATGACAAAGTTGGTAAGCAGCAGAAGCAGATTTAAACCCATCTCTTGACTTCACTGCTATTGCTCACCAATCTGGTCCAATAGAATCCAACCTAACAAGCATTTATTAGTCACCTCCTACATTTGAGGTATGGGCTTTTTGGTGCTGGATATACAGACACGAAACTTCCTACGATATACCATGCTAAGCAGTCTTAGCACATTTGCATGAGTTCATCCCACCCAGCCCCAACCCTGGAGGATCAATGGAGCAGGACAGAGACAAAAGTCACTGCACGGAGTTCATGGGACCCACGAGAAGACCCAGGAAGGAAGCAGTTAGTTTAGGACGGTGACCTGTCAGGGTTCTCAGACTTCTGTTCTCTCCCAAGCCCTTCCTTGTCTTCCTTCTAGGAGCCTTGAGAGAGGAGAGGGAGGAGGTACCTTCCCTCTGGTGCTACGGTGAGGTGGGTGGGGGGCACCAGGGCTCCTGGTGCGCATGGCAGCCAGGCAGGCAGCTCCCGATAACAAAGGGGGAGGAGAGGAATGAACATCAGGTATCAGAGCAACAAGATGGCATCTTGGGCATTTAGGCAGGGTGGCATTTGAGGTGAGGGTACAGCAGTGTTGTGAGGGTAACAAGATAACACTTTAAGGGGTGTTCAGGGGACAGGGAGGCATCCTGGATGGTGCCCTAACCTATGATTATAATACTGAAGGGCACTCCCACTCAGGGAGGTAAAGCCCTGTGCCCACTCACCCAGGGGTACCCACTGATGGGGAGGAGAGATGGAAAGAGAGAAGGGCGGTGGCCGTCTCCCCGCAGATCCCTAGGCAGCCAGGGCTCACAGTTCCTGGGCTGAACATCGATACTGGACTGTGCCAGCCAATACAGAAGGAGTTGTTCTGAGCTCTCCGAGAAGGGATGCCAACCTTCTCGCCAGCCACTGCCACCTATTAGCTTCTCAGACCCTAAACAGAATCCCGGCACTGTTTCTGCTGGTCCTGAATCCCTGGGCCAAGTGGCTCAGCTTGGTCCTCTTGCCCCAGGCTCTGGGTCCCTCCCTGGGTGTGTCTCAGACCTTCCCTCCCACAGGCTGCTGGCCCCAGAGGCCATGTGGTCACTCACCATGCGCCCGTTGGGGACGCCCAGGTGCTTGGCTTTTCCTGGCATCCCTCCTGTCACAGGGCCCCGACGATGAGGGCAGAGACCATGGGTCCCTGGAGGGGTAGCTGGCAGAGCCAAAAGGGGGAGCACGGCAGGCGCGGGGCGGCTCTGCTCCGAATCCCTCACATCCTGAAACAGCACTCACTACCTCTTTTCTTTGCCACAGGAAGTGTATCTATGGAGACGAAAACCACAGAAAGAAGTAGGCTCTGAAGAGAATGCCTCT